TGCTGCAGCTTTGAGGCGGCCTCAAGGTAGGGAATGCTCTGCTTCTCAGCCAAGATGCGAAAGTGATCGTCTATGTTTTTCCCATACATCCGCGGAAGCTTGAGGTCGACATCAGGCAGCAGTGAGGTTTCCTTCCCCCACAGATTGTGATTCTGCAAGTGCCTTATGCTGCGCTCCACAGCTTCCTCCCTGTACTCTGGCTCAATGCCACGAAAGATTTGCTCATGGAGGTTTCTGGAAAGCATCTGAATGTTAAGGGGGTTCAGACGGGTCTCTGTCGAGTCCTCGCCCTGCAGCGAGCAAGGTTTGGTGGAGTAGAAGGACCTTAGACACCTCCATCGCAGAGGGAAAAACGTCCTCTTGAGAGGGCAGCGTGACAAATGCAACATCACCTCATGCAGATGTATCACCAGAGCTGTAGGACAATCAGATAACAACAAATTAACCTCACGTGACTTCTTTGAGAATGAAAACATATCCAGAAGTATGGATATCCACACTCAGGTTTCACAACAAAAAAAACAAAAACAAAAAGCTTTTAAAAGCCTACTGAAGAAACACAGCAAATTCTTCCTTGGGTGTATTTTAGCAAACATCAGATCCATGCAGACTTTTGACATATTTCAAGATAGACTCTGAAGCATCTGAGCTGTGTTTAGGTAGAATGGGCTCTACTCTACATGTCAGAGCCACTGTTTGAATCTGATTAACCCTAATGAAAAGCCAACGCAGAAGCAAACCTAGACGATGACAGCAATCACCACTTGTACAAATCTGTTGATATACTTGGTCGAATTTTTCAATATAATTCGCATTATTATTTGTCAGCCATAAGGTCTATGACAGCTATTAAATTGAAATTGCTGCACAACCCTCTAACCCTCTTAAGGTTGGAGTTATCGCTGTTGCTTACCAGCTTTTTTTCCACCTCACTTTTTCCTTCCATTCAATTTTCTATTAATATAACTGGATGCAGCTGGAGACTACTGGAAATAGGAGCAAGCTTCACAATTCTAGGACATCTGCAAATACAAATGAGTGTTAATTATTTTTCACCACAGTGTTTTCAAACACTGCTTCCACGTGTTCATCTGTAAGTAACTTACTATATAATCATTAAACGTAGCTCTTTTAACTCGGTGACAGAGGACACGAGAGAAACACACGCTTTAGCTTACTTGTTTTAGGCGGTGGGATTTATTGCCTTTAACCGAACGAAGGCATCTTTGCGTCCCATCCCGTTTGAGCTTCAACACCAAATCCAAAAGGTTAAACTATAGCGACACCACGCGGTCTGGATGATTCATAAACCTTTAAATGCGTGAAATAAATGACTTGTACGGATATGATGGTTCTTTTTTCTTTTGCAAACCACTTCATACGCACGTCACCCTTTGTATAAACAAAACAGAACAAATGAAAACCGACCAAACGCTTGGATGATTGACATTGATGTCTGTCAACGTTCCAAATTGGGAACGTCGAGGCCGCGTGGCCTAATGGATAAGGCGTCTGACTTCGGATCAGAAGATTGCAGGTTCGAGTCCTGCCGCGGTCGCATTTTTGTTAATTTAGCGTTTCAAGTCTTATTATTGATTTAAATAATCATAGAGCTACATATTCAAACCGCCAAGCATTTGACATTAGAGACAGTTGAAACTGCAACAGCTCTTAGATTTATTTTGACTTCTCATGTGGACTCAAAGGCGAAGGATGCCTGATTGTCGGTCTTGTTTTAGTGCTGCACTTGGCCCTCTCAGCCCACCAGATTACTCTGCACATCATATTAGAAATTCAGGAGCGAAATGCATTTTCTGAACTATAAATGCTATTTTAAATCATTTGTAGTCAATTTTTGTGAGGTTGCTTCTTTGAAGACCATACTGCTGGTGGGCAGCAGGGGGAGTAGAGAGCCGCGGGGATAAGCGGCACTGCAGTATATAGACTGCTAAAAAAAAAAAACATGTCCGAGTCATTTACGTCTTCATTTTCCTTTATCAATCACTGGTGGTTTTACTCTTTAACAATTGCTAGGTTTTTTTTATTATTTATGTTCTTTTGGTGGACCATACATAAATGAATGGTTTTCATTGTCCATTTTACCACCTTTGTAGAAGGAGAAATGAAGAGTTACTAACATGATATGCTTATGTGAGCTTCTCCAATCATTATGTTCAGTCATATTCTGTTTTCAGAAGTACAGATATTTGATTAAATGCTGTCATTTAAATCAGGTGTGCTGGAGCAGAGTCATGTAACACATGAACAGGACTGAGAGTCAACAATTTAGATCTCTAACTTTAATGGCCATTGTCCTGCTGGGTGGTGTTTACATATTTACATATTATTATATAGCTTCCAGGATTGCCTTGTATTAGCTCCAGCCATTTTCTTTAACTCTACCCATATTTACTGTCCCAGCAACAAACCATCTCTGTTCCTGGTGGTGGAAGCATCATGTTGCTGGGACAGTAAATATGGGTAGAGTTAGAAATGGTTTGTTCAGACTCGTGCAGAGTGAGTTTGCCACCACAAACAGTGTTTCGTTTTTAGGCGTGAGCATTTAGTCACAATCTCATCTGATCAGAGTTGCACACTGACCATATTTTTAGACTGGTTGTCCAGTTTCTCCACACTTAACTCTTAGTCGTACAGGATACAAGACAGATCTATTCGTATTTTTCCGTTTGTCGCTCAAACAAGTATTTCCCCAAAGTGGCAAAACTCTTCTGTTTCCTTTTCTCTAAAAGGCTGTGACTTTTGATTTCTGACCTCCAGGCAAGCTTTCCTTTAGACAGAGCCTCCTCCAGCGTGTGAGTAGCTGCATAATTCACTGCCTCCCATTGTCCTGTTAGTATGCCAGAGAACATTGAAATAATATATTTTCTCTTTCATCCAGACAATATCTTTGGAATGATATGAAGAGTGCCGCTCTGCAGTCACTCTGTTGTGTCTGTGCGTGAGAAACAGTATAGGAATTGGTTTACCTTGCAACTCGAATGCTTTGAGTCTCATGGATGCTTCTATTTCGTGCTTTCCAAATGTTAATCATGGATTAAGTCAGTAAATGGATAGTTGCATTGATTGTTGCTAGCTTAAAACAGAGCTTCATTTTTATTCATTTGCCCTGTGTCATGCAGGTCTGTGTGTCTGAGATCACAGTAGAGAGATAAATAATTAAGAACATAAGCAAGCTAACAAGTGTACTGAGATCTTAATTACTGGACCTAAAATTATTTTAATGACCAAATTATGCCAGACACATTTCAGCTGAAATAAAGGTTACAGTTTTACCTATCATCTGGCAGGTAAGTACATAGCCTGACATAGACATTTAAAATAATTACCAAAGATGATTTAGGAGGCATTTGAAATTCAGAATACAATAATAGCTCAAAGTGTATCAAGATGTTCAAAATATAAGAATCCCAGTCCCAGTCACATAAGTGAAACAGTATGGCCTATACTTTAAATCTGACTGTTCATGTTGGAAACTTAATGCGTCATCATTAAAACTACTCAGAAAAATTCTCTTTTTCTCCTCACACAAATTTGGAGGGAACTTTTCAGTCCAATCTTGGCATTGGATCTTGATGTTAATTTGCCTAAAGAATAAAAAAAAAAAAAAAAAAAAGATCGTGTATTTTTCAAGAGAGCTCACGCTTAGTTGCAGCCATTTACAGTCCTCTACTGGTAAGCTTTTTACACTTATTGAAGATTCTAATGTAACTGTTCATACTTTTATTTTAATTCTATAACTGTGCTTTAAACTTCTTACAGAACAAAAGCAAACATTGTCTTTAAATAAGTTAAATAATGACAATCATGAGAAATGTTTGAAAACTAAAATTGGGGCCTGCTGTTTTGTGACCTGTAGCTCCACAAAGTATAACAACTGAATGGTGTGTTAAAAGTCCTCTTTTTATTATTATTATTATTTTGGGTTTTAAGTTATAGACCAAAGCAAAGTAGTGGATAATTTGAAGAAGAAAAAAATTGGTTTTCAGATTTTTTCAAAAAATGAAAATTTTACAGCAAGGTAAGTTTATGTATTTAGCACCCCTAAATCTGATGTTTCTACACAAGCACAACTGTTTGTCTTCAGGCTGCCTCACTAGTAAATATGATCCACCTCTGTATTTATCATTCTCACATCTGTTTTATGAAGGGCGCAGCACCTGTTAGAGAACATTGGGAACAAGCAGCACCAAAAGGAGCACAGCAGGGTCGGGATAAGCCGATGGAAAAGTTTAAAGTAAAGGTTAGGCCACGAAGCTGTGTCACAAGATATTGCTTTATAACTGTTTTCAAAGAAGAAAATCTTCTATGAACAGGAACATTTTGTGTCATATAAAACTGCCCAAAAAAAACCCGTAAGAAGTCCCATTTCCAGATTGTCACAAGCCACATAGGGAGCACAGCAAACATGTGGTAGATGATGCTGTGCTCCAATGACATCTAAGTAAAACTTAAAAGCAAAATGTTGCGTGTTCCAGAAAACCGTCACATCACCCTGTCCAGACCATTCCCATTGTAAAACATTGTGGTGACATAGTTAGAGGAAATCTATTTTTTCTCAGGGAGATGGACAGAGTTCAGGGGAAGACTTGGAGTTCAATTCAGGGTAGATGATCAATTAGCAAAGCATCTCATAAGCATGTAAAACTCATGCATTAATTTGCAAAAGCTCTGCTGGAAAAAGTATCGAAAAAAACATTGAAGTCAGTGGTTGTATCGTGTCAAAAAACAGAAAAAGTTCAAAAGGCTTAAATTGTTCAGCAAAAACTAAAACAGAACTTGGACTCACTTACACGCTTGGTGCTTAATGAGTAACACAAAAATAAATAAATAAATCACGTGAAAACAGCTCGTAGTGGGACATCAATCTGCAATTTGAAGATCTTTGCAGAGTTCTTCGTCTGTGATTGGTCAATTCGCGGCCCTGGTCCTGGCATGATGTCAGTGCGGGAGCTGGTTGTCAGACAGTGGAGGAAGAGCGCAGGCTGGAGGAGAGACACAAGCTGGAGGACTGAGGATGGAGCAGGATCTATTGACTCTGGCTGCATGGAAACCAGATGTAAACGAGGGGAAAATCCACCTGGGAGATTCGGCACGACCTCAAACTGAAGACATTTTGGCTCCAGAGTTTTGCTCTTGCTTGCGACGCACAGGTCAGAAACGCCTCTGGAAATCGGCAAAATCTGCTCGCTGTATCCGTGCATCGTAAATGTATTTAATCTTTCCAGGTTTAACATTTTTCAACGATGACAATGGATGCTTATTACAAATTATTTAATTTAATTTATTTTTTTTTACAAGAGCAGACATCGTATTTAAAGGGTGGAAACACCCTTGTGTCTCGTTTACAATAAGAGCGCACACAGCGCTGAATGGTCTTTAAACAACCCCTAAAACCCCTGTTGGACAAATCCCCCAGAATGTTAAAGGCTTCTAGGACCCCGGGCCTTCTGTTATGTTCAGGAACAATTTGGGATACAATTTTAGGATATTTTTAAATTTATTTTTTGGTAACATATGTGCGGATTAGTCCTTGTGACGAGAAATAATCTAGTTTCAGAAGTAGGCCAATCACAACTCTCATTAAAAGTAGGGAATCTTGGCCCTCGGGAGCTCTGAAGAGCCAACAGATAATTAGAGCATCTTAAAGCCCAGTTCAATTTAGATTTGAAATATTTTTTGTTATTATTATGGGGGGGAAATGCAGTTTTTTTTTCTTTTTCTTTTTTTTAATTATTATTATTCGAACATCATTTCGCCTGTGATGATGTCAGGTTCGTGTTAATGCTTTTCAGATCACGTTATACAGTGAGGTGAAATAGCCTTTCAATGCAAACTTAAGTTAAATCTGAAGCACCATGATGTCGGTCCAAAATAGTAACCTAATAAATAATAACAAACCATTACAGAAAGTAGAATTAAATGAACTCGTCTACTCAAAGTGGTGGGGTGTCACAACGCACTAAGTTACCTGGTGAAAACATTTTAAAATAAAAAAGGAAACGATGACGAAAGAGAAGCGTTAACACGTCACAACCCTCCTGGAATGTTTATTTGTTTTTGTTTTGTTTGTTTGTTTGTTTGTTTTTATTATTGTTAATGATAATTATGTAAAAGAAGATAAGATGCTATTTTGCATTAATACGTTGCAGACATTACATTTTCTTTACACTTCGCGATTAGTATGAAAAACGTCAGCGGGCCTCATGGGGCACGTTCTGACCTATCGCGAGAGAACGGTATAATCGCCTCAAATACTTGTTCAGGCAGAATGTTTTTGTTGTTGTTTATGGTGATGATGCAGATCTTTCATCGACTGTCGGTTGAATTAACTGGGGTTGTATGAATATTGCAGGCCTTGTGAAGACGCCTCATCCTCATCATCATGTCAGAAGATTGCTCAGCATGCCTGAAGTGCACAGGGGGGGGGGTCTGTTTCTGTCTTTGGTTATCTAGCTGTATGAGTTTTAAATACCTGTCATAAAGCTAGATAACCGAAAGTAGAAATGACTTCCATCAGCTGTGTGTTTGCCCCTGAGGAAGGTGTGTGTGCGTGTGTGTGCGTGTGTGTGCGAGTGTGGGGGAGGTTATGTTGCTCCAGAGGAAGATTATCATCTGGGAAAGGTAAGAAACATTTGTTGCTGCAAGGATTGTTGTTGATGGATGATAAAATTAAACATAACAAATAGCATTTTTTTAAATAATACATTTTAACAGGCTTCTATTTTGTGTTATTTTTTGTTCTACAAATGACAAGTAACTGTTTCCCATAGCAAGAATGCACATCAAATCATGGAGTGTAATGCTATTATTAGCGTCACACTCCGCCATTATTATATCAGGTAATCTTTCTCTTGTGTATGGATTTCACTCAAATATCTCGTATTTCTATGAATTTCCTAGAATTATTTTTAATTGACTGAGGCCTCGACGCTGACAATTTGACCCTATGTTGTTATAACCTGTTATCTTATTCCTGAGGAGCCCAAAAATAATCCCAAATTTCAAGAACCATGTTAACATTTTGACATTTCAAAAGAATTTCAGTTTCACGTAACATTTATTATAGAGGGTGATTATTAGTAAATGCACAAATTAACATTGCATTGATTCAAGCCGGTTTCCAAGTTTATTTCTGATATGATCTGCTAATTAATATTTTATTTATTCATTCTCTTTTTATATTGTCCTGTTCTTCCTTTTAGTTCATCTCACAGTGTAAAGACTAGTGATTTTACTGATTAGTTTGGAGTTGTTTGTTGAATCAGCTTGAAAAATTAGCAAGAAAACAAACACTGACCATGATGAAGACCAAGCTTGGTCACAATACGTCAATCAGTGCTGATTTGACTCCTATTAGCTTGTAAAACATAGTCATAAAAAAAATAAAAATCACTTTTTTCACCTAATTTTTCCACAGTGGAATCCTTTTTTATTTTCATTTTTAGATTTTTAAGAAACCCTATTCTTAGAAAGTTTGGATTTTTCCTACAGTTCCTAATTTTTCCCCCCAAACTCCTTCAATCAGACAAACTTTTTATGCAGACCTTTTTTTAAAACAACACAACTAAACATGACTTACACAGACTATGATGCTAAACCACTAATACTATCCTTTTGAGGATTATTCTTTGTCTTCTTCTTACTAAGCTCCAAACAAACTGCATCAGATAATTTACCATTGATTTATTTACCAGTGGTGGACTGGTAAAAAAAGTTTTTTTTTACATTTTTGATCTTGATGCATGAAAACCAAAGATCCCCTCCTCAAAACGAGAAGGGAAAAAAACCCAATCCTTTGGTATGTAACCTTGTGATCACCAGTCAGACGTGGTGATGGCCAATCAAGTGAAAACTAGACCAATTGATTGGTGCTGAAAGGGCAGAGAAGAGATCTCTACTTAGTCATTTTTTTTAAATCGCCCCGAAATCTGCCTTTGGCTAGTATGAGATTATAAATGACGTTATCTATAAAATATTATTATTATTTGTATTTTTGACTCTTTCCAAACACATCCAGTTTTTCTACTCTTCCTTTCAAGCTTGTGTTTAGGAGTTATTTATCATTTTACATTTGAATATAAATTAGTTACTTCTGTTTTCTATCTGCTCAGATAGCTACTCTGCAATCAGCTGCTCTGCAGATATTGATAGCTTTTTTAGTAACGATAGATTGGTCTCCATGAGTTTTCACACCACACTTGTCCATATTTCCAGAATTTGGAAACTGAAAAACTAGTTTTTCTTGTCAGCCCGATGTAGGACCCGTCTTTCAGCCAGCTGACCAGCAGTGTCTAACAACAGATGAGCCTTTGGTAATCACTGTGTTAACAAAGGCTATGTAGTAAATATATATATATATTAAAAAAACTCTGGTCATGACAGAACTTTCTCTTGTATTTTATGAAAAGAACTTTAAACTGAAACAATATCACAAAAACCATTAGTAGTGCTAAAGCGTGTTTTTTTAAAAAAAATCTTTGGTATTTATTAATTCTGTAAACCCATGTCTACTCAGAAGACGTTGCCCTTGTCGGGGCTCATATTGATTTGTTCTTTTTGATACTATTCACATAGCAAAGAAAACACAGCCTCAATTATAACTTTGTTTAGATAAAAGAAAAGAAAAGCTAATGCTTTGTCCAAACCTTGCAGAGCCTCTAATAAAGCAGCTGACGAGTGAAGCACAGGGTTAAAAAAAACACTTAGCGTCTGTGTTTAAAATCTCGAGTTCTTTGGTGCACATTGTGCGTTGGCTCAATGAGAAGGCCAAGGCCGTCCTGCAGGCAGGAGCTGAACTTCTCAACTTGGTACTTCAGCTCTATACGTGTTGCATGCACTCAGTTCAGAGAATGCCACTAAAGCCTAAAGAGCCCCAAAGTGAGATGAGTTTTCATTCATTCTGTTGACTAGCTGTTGCTCACTGTCAACCCGGACTAATTGCTTCGCTTCTTAGTCAGGTATTGGATATATGAAAAGGCTGTGGCCTGAGTCCTTTCCGGAGCATTCCTCTGTTATAGGTAGCGTGTGAACCTGGTGTGCCTCTTTAAGAAGGGCAATAAAAAACACTTGAGGCTTATGTGTGGAATCAGGTCGTCCTTGATTTTTACCTTTGTACCCATATAATGTGGGAGATTTTAAAAAAATTTCCGGGGCTTTTATTGCAGAAGAATACACACTCATGTCCTGAAAACAAACTGGTCTTTGTAGTTGCTCAGAGCTTTAATAGTATGCACTGCTGGGGAAAATATCAATGTTTTTAGTAATGGCCCTTCATTTAAATGCTGTCCACAATTACAATGATTCCCCTGAATGAATAGCACTCTCATGTTCCCTTGTCTGTGGACATCAAAATTCCTTAACAGAGACAGCATCAAGCAAAAACAAGAAGGGGAAAATGGCTGGTCTGAATTTTCCACGTCCTCCGACACCCTCGCCTGTTTTTACCCAGAAGCCCCCATGCCATCTGTATCGCCAGCGGAGACACTCGGCTGTGCCAGGAGATAGACAAAGACCTGGAGCATGGGCATGCTCAGAGGAGCCATCTTGGGAGATCGTTCATCGAGACATCTAAAATGGCTGGGCTGGCACTTGAGGTGAGCTGCATCATGGTTTGCTGTTGGGTACCAGTGATGGTCAGTGGGGTTGGGGAGGATACGACTTACGAGGGGAAAGGAGAGAAGAAGAGTTTCCCCCCATTTCCTCCACAGTCAGACATGGCCTCTCTCTTGTCTGCTGCAGTCTGCTCCTGCTAATTAGCAGTTAAGGGGGTGATGTGGGGAAGGGGGGTGAGGATTGGTGGTGGTGGTTGGTGTCGGTTGTGGGGGGTGCTGGGCAACAAAATTAATGAGCTGGCACAGGTTGAAGGAAACCTGCCATCCTCTCTTGTCATGGTGCTTCTTTATTCCCCGGAGCAGACCAGGCAGTTCGGCACGGCATGTTTCCACCTGATAAATATCGCAGATTAATGCATGCAACACTGAGGCTTTCCTAAAAAAAAATTGTAATGTTTCAAAAAGTGTCTTTATGTATGTTATTGTGCTGGAAAATTTCTGATGCTAATAAAGCAAATAGGACATACTGGAATTTTTTAAGGTAAAAAAAACAACAACAAAAACATCTGTGCTCAATTATGCTCACTCGTTTTCTTAGATATTTGTTTGCTACACATTTTCTTGTGTGTTAAATTATAAATTTTTGAGCATGAAGCTGCATGCTGATATTCAGTAAAAATTCTCTTCTGTTGCAATGGTTGCAGTGTAAATCAAAATGTTTGCACCTGTATCTAAAAGATACTCCCAAATATTTCCCAGTGGATCTTGCACAATGATTCTTTGCCCTTAGATTTAATTTTCAGCTCCTTGCTTTGTAATTGTAACTAAGCGATACAAATATGATTAGAAACCTTTTTCAGGATGCAGAAAGCAGACTGTTCTCTCAAATCTAGCCTCATGCCCACATACACTTGCAAAGCTCTTGTTATCATGCCGCTTAGCTGGCCTGTAGTGGCTCTGGCAGCAACCCCAGGCGGAAAAGTGAGACACATGAGCGTGTGTGTTCGGGGCCAACATGTGCAGCTGCAAAGCTTGTGTGTTAATGAACAGCGCCATGCATTTTCACATTATCATTCAGCCTCGTACTCTCTCTCACTCTCTCCCTCCCTCAATAGCTGCTCGCCCGACAACACCCCCCATCGCCACCCATTCCCTTCGAAAAGCCTGCTTTCTCACCATTGTGGGAACTGGTGGTGCGGCGGGCCCGGGCTGGGGGGCAGGGTGGGAAAGGCCCTCCAGACTAGACATGAGCAGATGCCTGAGACATTAGACCGTCGTGCGGATCACCAGGGTCGGACGAGGCGCTGAGTTTTAATGTGTGGGCAAGTGTATGTGTGTTTGATATGTGTGTGACGGTGATGGGGAAGGGGACGAGGAAAAGAAAGGGGGGTTAGTCCAGGCCCTGGAGTGCCACCTGACTGTTCATTAGTCTATTCAGCCTACTCTGCATGTCTGAAAAACATGGAGATACAACATTTTCAGCTACATGAGAGGAATTTCCCAGGCACTAAACAAGCATTCAGAGATAATACTCATATGAAGTCCTGCTTCTTGATAAAACGTCTTTGGGTTGCAACAGTACCACAAGGGAACAATATTTGTACAATTTCCTATAAGAACTTGATTGTAATCTTTGCCATGTTTCCCACACTTATATTTCTTTATGTTATATTAACATAATATGGGTTCTTGTGTCAGGTTCTTAAAAGATACCATCCAATGTTAAAACTAACAAAAGTTTAACCCATAAAATTAATGTAACAATTTGGCAACATTTTATTTTTGCATTTAATAAATATTTCAGAAAAGAAATTATGGTTTACCATAAGAAAAATAACACTTTAACTAGATTTAAATTGATATTCTTAAAGCATACACCCAGCAATTCTTTTGCAATTATTCAAATATTTTTTCTCAAAATTCATTCAATTAATTGCCTAACGCAAATGCATTTAATTACTCAAATAAAATACATTATTAATCAAATAGTTGATAAATTACAGAATAACACAAATTGAAAAATGTTAACTTGTTTTAAAAATGCATAGAAAATATGCAAGTTAAGATCAATTGATAGTGAATATATCTGTATTTATACAATTTTTGTCACACACTTTCTCTGGGTCTTAGCTCTTGCTAAGCTAATTAAAGCTGAGATCATTTTTGCTCCAACAAAAATATTCTCAACCACTTGTCATAATTAAAAATTTTCTCTCCTCTAAAGCTCCTGTGTAAGGTACAATTTGCACTCAATGTTTTAAAAAAGCATTACTGCTGTTGCTTTAGTACTTAAAGCGCGACACAAAAAAAATCCTCCAAAACATAAACTTGTCAACCACAAGTTTATGTTTTGCAAAAGTTAGGATTGTTTAGAAATAAAAGTAGCAACTTTTGTTAAAATGTAATAACACTTTTGTATTTTTGAGGACTTTTACATATTGTCCGCCAGGTTTCTCTTTTGTGCTCTGTCTTAAAAGAGGTCCAAATAAAATTGTTTGTTTGGGATGAAGGCATAACATGTCAAATAGTAACAAACTCTTTAAATGCTCTCCAAGGAAAAGACAAATTCTTATAAAGTCTTATATTTTATACCCCAAAGAATCCTTTCTTTAGTGTAAAAATCCCACAAGACAGTTGATGGTACCCTGTACCACTGACTGACTCAGCTGAAGTCGGGGCTGCGACCAGAGGAGCTGAGTGATGTAACCAGCAGATAAAAGTCATTAATGATACCTAACGCTGTTTGTGTGGCTCTGCAATATAAAACATGTGTATAGGTCACATGGCAACATATTATTACCTCTTGGGACTAAACTATCTTTATAGCTGCATTAGAAAAGATCAGCTATGATGTACAGTATTACTGCTTCATGCCATTTTAGGAGAGAAGAGGAAGGTAGCTAAGAGCACAGCTTTCTCTTTCCTGCTACGTCTGGAAATGCAGAGAAGGTTGAGTTTAAAATGGAAAAGGTAAAAAGAAGGAAGGCCTAAACAGAAAAGAGATGGCAGCCATGTTGGAGAGCCATGCCATTACATTCAGCTGCTGAGGAGCAGACGTGTGTGTGTGTTTGTTGGGAGGTTTGCAACACAGTTTGTTTTAATCATTGCTGAAGAGGTATTTAGTCCCTGTTTCTGAGTTGAAAAAAATGAAACCAAATTACAGCGATAGCATAAACTCCTCTGTGATATCCTCTTTTTACACTGGCTAAAGCTGCTCTGTTTTTAATCTGCTCTGCAACAAAGAGTCTTTAAACCAAGACAGTCTGAGATCAGAGCGACTGGGGGAGCGAGGTCAGCAGGTCTGGCAGAGTCGGAAGGATTTAGGGCGTTAACACCTCTGAATCAATCTCTGCTTGTACGTATCTTTAAATTTGACTTAAAAATGCATATCCCCCTAAAGAAAGTGGGACAATGGGACAGATGATTACCTGGCCTTTCTTCTTCCCTGCCTGTGTTATCCATTATTAACTATGTATTACCTCTTCTTCACTGGATTTTCAAAGCTGTGGAAATTATAATGTATGACATGATGAAGTGACAACAGCCACCGCTCACTATCCGTTCTGTGTGGGTGCAGCTGTGTCGCTATAGTAGCGATAAATTGTTAATACCACACTATTCCTGGGTTACCTTCTCACTATGTGTGGATAGACAAGGCACAGCTCACAGGCCGCACATCGTCTTGGATGAGGCTCCAATGTGGGTCAATCGAGGCTCACTGGGTGTCTTTACTGCAGCTTCGGCTAAGACTAATGTAGGACGAAGCTGAACGTTAAGTATATCAGAGGAAGATGGAGAGAAGCTCCCACATCGCAGGCTTTTCAGGGGGTCCTCTGTGCTCCAATGAAAGGAGAGAAGAATTAGGTGACTGAGCCTTTAATGCGGCAGCCCTTCATAATCATAGCACGTGCAGTGAGGTTGTGGGGTGAAAAGATGGTTAGGAAATCCTTGCTGTGACCTAATTTTACTTTCCTCATGTTAACTTGTTTTTGTAGCAATGAAGTTTGAGATTAGTCTTTAAAATATGCCATAGGTTACAAATTTCTAACTTAAAAGCTGTGCTGAGAATCAAGTCAAGTTCAAGTTCATTGGTGCTGTTGTTCCGTCTGGGGAGAGTCGAGAATGTCTGTGGCCACCCTGGAGTCAAAGAATACAACCAAGACGGGAACGAGGAGGTGGTGTGTGAGGAGTACATAGCCTTTGACCTCTTTTAGGGTTGCTATGGGATAGAGGCCGCTCGGTTCAGCAATGTAAGTTTGAAAAGGCCAAATTGTCAGAGCTGTCCAGCAGACGTCAACTAACCCACCACTCCTACCTCCCCTGCAAAACACACACAAACTCAAACCCATTCACACCTACTCACAGATGGCACGGGCCAGCTTGGGAATGTTAGCTGCAAGAGAAGGAGAGAGAAAACACTTTATGTTCATCAGAGACTGCGATAATTCATCTAGTTGAAAGTCTGCAGCCCTTTTTCGGCACATTCTGCTGGATCATTCTGCACCTCATCCTACACAAATTTACACCTACTTGGGGATTGAGTTACCGTGATAAAACATTTGTTGGACCTTATCAAACAAAATCTTCATAAATGGCATTATTTTCTTGTTTATTTCTTCTGCCAAAAGATACCATGCATGCAATTTAAAGTTCTACTTAACATCATCACCCCATTTGTCACCGTTTGAGAAAAATACCCATTCTATCCACGGCTTCTTCTAAATCGATCCAAAATGAGGTGTTACATTAGTGGATCGCCCATTTCTGTTCCTGCACACAGTAGCTGCTCAGCATTTCGTATCTGATTCATTGCATGTCAGAGTGGGCATGCAAATCCACGGATCGTAATGCGTGCACGTTCCACAGCCCCTCTGCAAACGTGTGCGAGTGTGGCCTCATTTAAGGTTGCATTCATTCGAAGGAGGCGTCCGGCGAATAAAAGAAGCTGTATTTGCATACGCTGCATGCCGTCTGCAGAGAGGGAGCAGCTATCCCCCCCCTGACTACCAAAAAAAAGATATCAGAGGTGGACAAAGAGAACGAGGACAAATCCTTCATTGTGGGCACGGTGGGAGAAAGGGCTCATCTGAATTGGGGAGTGGGTGAAAATTGGCAGAGAAAGAGTTTGCGCTGGTTCCCTGCAGGGATAAAAGCATTAAGCGTTACTGCCTGAAAATGGAAGAGAAGAACAACACGCAGAGCTAAGGAGGCTTTCATTTTACAGTGCATGAAAAGGAAGTTTTTTTTTTCCTGAAACACTTCCTCCACTGTTTAATGTGCAAAATAAAAAAATCATGCACAACATGTAAATGTGCTATTGTCAAAACAGTCTCATTACAATTTTGTAAAACCAAACAACTTCAGTTTTAATGACTTCATATTGTTTCCCAACAAATCAGCGTTTCTATAACTTCTCTGGTTCATTGTTTGCTTTTTATGTGCTGTTTGTGTTTAACTGTGAATTCTTGACGTATAAAAAAACTCTTTCAATGAATGCTCTCGCAACTCCACTTAACCTGCCGCAGTTTAATTTTTATTTTGTATTATCTTCTATGTTGTGATGTTAAGAAACATCTTTCCTATTCTGTTTTTTCTTCATTCTTATAATAATGCAAGGCATGATTTCTTTCATGGGTAGTTAAAGAAATTGACAAACTAAGTTAGATTCACGTGTTAATGATTCCCTCCATCTTTCTTGTTCAGGACAGGACCAGAACTCTGAAGATCTCTGCGTCTGGCTTTGGGGACCAAACTCAACATAAAAAATTAAAAAAAATAAAATATCACCATACTTACAGGACTCTGGGCACCGAATCTGAATCTCACTTTGTGAATGGATTGTACTTGTATGAACTGTACTGAGTTGAATTTGCAATACAGACAATTAAAGTTAATGCTATACTGTTGTAATAAAGTGTGTAATTGAACATTTTCAGAAACAGAGTAAAATTAATAGATTTTTTTACCCAACATAATGTGTATCACTGTAAAACAAATGTATTGTTGAATTCTCTTTTCTATCTAGTGTAACGAATTAAATGATAATTTATATAATATAAATGTGAAATATGAAAAATTAAATGTATTCCTGCCAAGAATACAAAATGATAGATGTCGTATTTGTGCTTTACTGATTTCTAATATACTTATTTTTGATCCATTAGTTATATTTTGGAATGTTCTTTAAGTATGCAAAATGTAATTTGATTAGATGTTATGCTATCTTATGTTGTATTGCTTTGCAGTATGTTTGTGTATTTAATGGTTAATAAATTTGTCTAAATTATTTAATTCATTCATTACATTATAGCACTAAATACATGCATGTGCACATGCATGTATTTAATGTTAGCCTTTCATTAATGTTTCTGAGTATAAATTGTAGAAAATAAACTCAGAAAATGTGAAACCAAGCATTTATGAAAATGTCCTCATCCAGACAGCTTCATTTGTTTTATTTGAACAAAATTCATTCTTTCAGAAATGACAGAAGTTAGTTATTGTTATAACATGTCCATTATTAGGTTATTTGGTCTCTGAATTGTAAAAGCCTTTGTGTTGTCCTGTGATAATCAACTGAACAGAAAAAAAAACATCTATGCAACCCACAATTAATAAGCAATTACATTTTACAGCAGTCACAAGGTTCACAGGCACAGGGGATGTTCTTTCTCAAAAAACACCACCTGGATTGTCTTTTATTTAAAAAAATAAAAAAAAGTAGAAATTAGAGTTGACTTGTGATGAAAGCATAAAACAGTGACATATTTTATAAGCATCATCTGGAAAGTTGAGCTGTCCAGTTTGGTTGTAGCATTACAGAAATGATGCTTCACAAGGTTTGAACAAGTCTTGCAATTCTTTGGCTCCTACATTCATAAACACACAAACCTCAGCAGCTGTGAACAGCATGCTTAAGAATCATCTTTAGGGTATATTTTGTTTCAGAGTTAAAATTTCATGCTGCTAGAATTTGAACATTTGACTAAAATTTATTTTAATTTTGTTATTTTAACACACATGCTCCAAAACTAGTTTCATTGCGTTAGTGACTTTTTTTTCCACGCTGTATTATAATCCAAGATTATATCCACATGGCGGAGCGTGGCGGTGGGCTGAGACGCGTTGGAGTCACTGACCCCTCATCAAGTTTTCATTAGGAGAATCAGACCAAGGGACGTGCGCTGAATCGCCCAGTGAAAAGTTCAGCAGCCTCAAAAACTCAGCGGGAGGGGAAATGACGTCATGCGTTGTTAAACGAGCTGCTGCAGCGGTACCTGTGGTCGTTAAACAATTTTTCACTAGATCCGCACGTTGAGCCCGTTTTGCGGCTGCAGTCCGACGAGAAGCGCTTGTTCACTCAAACGTGTCACTGCCCAGCGGGGGGCCCCGGACCTTCTCCAGATTAAATTTGGATTACGGGCCGTCCTGAGGTCAGCGACCGACTCCTGCGTCCGGAGTCAAGCAACAGATGGACACGCGTGTAAGGTCACCGGGGGATTATTTCCCTCGTATTGTGTGAAAACAAGCAAAGAGCCCAAAAGGGACAATGGAAAGTGCAGTCATGGTTTGTGTGTCCATGAAGATGTGTAAATTGTTTCATTTTGAAAAAGATTGATGTCTTTTTTGTTGTTGTTTTGTATGGTTGTGTATTTTTTCCCATTCTGTTCAGTTCTGAGAAATAAATGCAATCTATGTATATTTTTTGAAATGATTAATAATAAAAGTTAATATTTAAACAGCAGTATACCTACCATATTTTTTTATGAACATAAGCACTATAGTATAACAAAAAATATGCAAAATATCAACATAGTAGAGCTAAAAATATTTAAAGCTACATTGCTTGGACTATGCCTGGTGTGATAATTGTGAGTAAAAATATAATAAAAATTATTGCACAAAGACTATAAACATAATTTTCAGGCTTTTATTTTAATCTAAAAGGCAGCAAAAATATTCATATTGCTATGAAAATAATGGAAAAAGTATCATTAATACAGTTTCAGCAATGCACAATAATAAAAATTGTTTTGTTTTTGAAACACAACATTGATTAGTCTTACACATTTTTGCTTATGTTGACTGTTTAGTCAGAGTAGTCAAAAATAAAAAAAATATAAAGCTGCCCAATTGTCCATACCTGAAGAAAAAAAAATCAAAAAAAGTTCAATACCCGATTTCAAAGGCATTGCTTAGCTACAGGTGGGGGAGGGGCAGTGATGTTCTCCTCTGTGCTCCATACAGCAGGAGAAAACTCTGGTTACTACAGCACCTTTGTATCTCCTGTGAAAGTGGTAACCAAAGTACGGTTATTGTAAAGAAACCATCATATTGTAATTGCATGAAACACTATCATATGAAAACTAAACACTAAACAAATTAGTTCAAATGTGGAGGCTGAACAGTGCCTGAACAACGTGTGTGTTTTGCAGCTGCATCCTGAATAGCTTGTTCAAGCCCTGTTTGTTCCACGTCTTTTAAATTTTAATTCACACATTTTTACACCGGTGCAGTTCTCACTCACACAGGCCTAAGATGGAGTCAGCATGTTTTCAATCCATCTAAACACCACAACAGTGGCTGATCTCTGTGATTAGTTCCCCCTCTCTGGATGAAAGGAAAGCAATTAGTGAAATCAGCCTCTGTAAAGGCTGGACTTACATGTTCAGATGATTTTGTGAAATCCAGTCACGCTATTGTGAATTTCATCATTAACGGAGAGCAGTTCGTGTTGGTTTTACCCAGCAACCTCAGCAAATGTGTACTTTACATCAGTTCCCAGTCTAACAAACAGAGAAATCCATGTCTCCTAATTAAAACTTCTTCAACATCCTTTCCTCGTTTTGGTGGAGGTAATTGCTGGGATCTCCCAGATGAGGTAAACATTACTCTTTGATGAGCATCTTCAGCTGAAGATGGTCCCCGGCCGGCTGGTGAAGTTCCCCGGCCGGCCGGGGGTCAGAAGGGTCAGTATGCGGACAGTTCCCCAGAGGACAATAAATGGGCCAAAGGGATACAGAGGTCAGGAGCTCTCTGAGGCGGGCTCAAAAGGTCAAGGGCAGCTAATTAAGTGGCCATTTCCGCCTTTTCCCAAGTGACCACTGGACTTTAAGTGAGACAAATAAATGGGCAGAAAAGTTCAAATAACCAAGTTAATACAACCACATTTTCTACATGTTTCAGAAAGCTGTTGAGCAGAATATAATGAGACAAATACAAAACATGCACCAAATCAAACTTTCCCTAAAAGATGACAGTATATAATCTTAGTGCCGAAACATTTTTCAGGGAAAGGAAGCATCGTCTAAAAGCTCTCTGTGTCTTGCTTGTCTGTGAATATTCAGCCATGTGCACAAATCTTTTTGCATAAGAATGGAGACGAGGGCCTGTGAACTCCTCTGACACTGACCTCTCTCCCGGGAAGTGAATAGTTTCACTCCCGGCGGCATTTCAGTCAGACCTGAGAGCCTTGCTGCAGCTTGCCTATAATCAGGCCGATTTAATGCATCCTACAAGTCCCGTCTTCCTCATCATGCAGCTCACAAATGTTGCCTCAGAGGAGCCACTGTGTGGCTTTTCACTGCATCCAGGCAGCTACACACACACACACACACACACACACACACCCGAACGCACGCAGCCCTGCCTCTGGGCCTGCTGCCAGAGGAGCCAGTTTGAAACAACAGAGGGGGTTTCTCTTCTGAGGTCTCATTAAAATCAGCAAGGTCCTCTTCAGAGGAGATGCTGCTCTATCAAGAACGTTTATAGGAGTTATCATCTCCAATTCATCTAAATTAATTTATTACACAAAGACCAACTGTGTAAATATTGCACAGTTGACACTGAAATTGTCATAATTTTCTTTTGTAAATCTGCAGTGTGCATGCATTAAGATAAATACACTCGCACTGCATTACTGAAACTTTACAACAAGTAATCCAGAAGCTGAGCTGAACTAAAGAGAAACGACAATTGGTGCTACAATAATTGTTACTTTGGTCTCTTGAATGAAGTCAATATTTACGTTCAAATCAATTGTTAGTAAAGAGCGACCTTTTTCTATTTCATTGTATTTATCGTCGGGGAAAAAAGTGAATTCTTATTATCTAAGTTTATTTTATTGAAGAAATGAATTTAGTCATGAGAAATAGAAAAACAAATGGTAAAATATGGACAATTGTTGGTTTCAACGAGTGGACGCGGTGCTGAAACCACAGCGCCGTGGCAGACGTTTTCAGGAGAGATTTTCTTTTCTTCTTGTTTATTTGAAACCACAACATGAATCATAAATCACTAATTAATAACTGGTAATAGATGATTTAAATATATAATTTGCTAAATCTTACCCTTGTAAACCTTGTATAAATATTTTCCGTCCTCTCTTTTTAAGGTTGGGAGCGTCATATGTGCTTTTATTAACATTTCTGCGCACAGGTTTTGGTTGAAAGGCCTCTGTTGATTGGCTTACGCCTCCCTCAGTCCCGCCTCCTGTTGCAAATTGATTCTCTGGTTGTATTTCGGCGCCTCTCAGTCCTCTGCTGCAGACGAAATTCTGCAACATATAAATCCGTCAGGTGAGACTTAAAGGTCTAAAACCCGATAAAATGAATCAAATTAGACATGGTATAAAAATAAATTAAATATAAATATATTTTTTTGCCTTACCGGTGCAAATAATTTACACAATTTGCACTGATAATTATTAAATGAATAGACACACATACGAAAGCTGCACAAACTACTACATTCTCCACTTACAAAGGTCAAACAAAACATGTTATGCGTAATTCCCCCCCCCCCCCCCAACAATTAAATCAGTCAGTTCTGTTTTGACGTGAAATCAAATAATTCCGTTTCTGAAGCACTTTGATATCCCAAAACATCTCAGGAATGTGAAACGCACTATTCACATCTTTCACTTTTCAAGCAAAGAGCTGACATCTCTGGCACTTTGACTCTTATTCAGAAAATATGTTCAAGTGGCCTAATGAAGCTTCTTTTAGCAAGTGGAAGAAAAAAAAATCTTTTTAAGACTTTAGTAATTGTCAGTGTGCGATAATGATAATGTTTTGAAAACGAGACAAAAGTAATTTTAATTAAAAGAAAAGAACAACAAAAAAACTATTCTACAGAAATAGCAAGGAAAGAGCTGCAGCATTGAATTTTCCTAATATCTATATGTTATATCACATTTTATTTATCTAGCAATTAATAATATTTAGTTATTGCAGTTTGATATATTAGCATTTTTACTTAGGTAAAAACTTTGACTGGGTGCCTCTTTTTTTTCTTTACTTATATTAACTTTTTTGATGTGAAAGAAAGAAGAAATAAAACACAACCTTCAATCAACCTGTTTGTTTTTCTACTATATTTTGACATATGAAAATTTAAGATAAATTTGAACAAAATAAATAATTTCAAATGATAT